ATGAACCCATTTTTTTGCTCGTTAAATGCTAAAATCATTATAGGAGAAAGTTTAAAGAAATTAAATGGTTTGCCTCTATATATGTTTAAATTATATTTAACTACTAGCTGGCAGTGATTTTTCATTAAACTTGACGTGACAGGGAATGGCAGCTGGAAAATAGACCAAATCCTTAACTCATCCTTAAATCACTTCCAGCTCCGCGTATTTGCACACTCACATGCAGGGTCCATTTTCTGTCCAACTCTTCTCTGTTCCTGATTCTTGACCTTATAAAATGTATTTAAAAATCACTCTTCCTTCCCTTTATCACCAAAACCAGACATGGTCCTTCATTGTTCAGACCTGAATGCCTGCTCCTTATCTATGCTATTTTGATTTTTCTAAGAAAAACGTCTCTTTCTTTTTTTTTTGTAGCTGTGTTCTGTGGTTATCAGGAAAGCGTTACAAGGGGAACAGGACACTTGAGTATATTAAATTAATGTGAGAGACCCCTCAGCCATTACGGTAAAGGTTATAAGGGCAACGGGACATGTGAGTATACTGAATTAATGCAGGAGACCCCTCAGCCATTAGGGTTAGGGTTCTAAGGGGACCGGGACACGTGAGTATACTGAATTAATGTGGGAGAGTCCTCAGCCATTAGGGTTAGGGTTCTAAGGGGAACGGGACACGTGAGTACACTGAATTAATGCGGGAGACCCCTCAGCCATTAGGGTTAGGGTTATAAGGGCAATGGGACACGTGAGTACACTGAATTAATGCGGGAGACCCCTCAGCCATTAGGGTTAGGGTTCTAAGGGGAACGGGACACGTGAGTATACTGAATTAATGCGGGAGACCCCTCAGCCATTAGGGTTAGGGTTCTAAGGGCAATGGGACATGTGAGTATACTGAATTAATGCGGGAGACCCCTCAGCCATTAGGGTTAGGGTTCTAAGGGCAATGGGACATGTGAGTATACTGAATTAATGCGGGAGACCCCTCAGCCATTAGGGTTAGGGTTCTAAGGGGAACGGGACACGTGAGTATACTGAATTAATGCGGGAGACCCCTCAGCCATTAGGGTTAGGGTTCTAAGAGGAACGGGACTCCAAGCCCCTCAGCCTGCTTCCCATAGCCATTCCAATGCCATCGCTATGCTATGACAGGCTGCTTCACATCTCCCAGGCTGTTGGCTTGAACTCCACCTCTGCTGTAACTATGTGTGGAGTTCGTATGTTCTCCCTGTGTTGCACCGTCTTCCTCCTGCAGTCCAAAGACACGGACTTTAGCTAACTGGCGTCCCTAAAGTGTCCAAATAGTCCAATGTCTATCCCAGCCTCGTGCCTGGTGCTGCCTGGACCTGGCTGAAGATGAGCCCAGACCAGAATAGTGGATAGACGAGGGACAGATATATCTGTGTGTTTATTTATGTGTGTCAGTGTGACTTGTATTATGGTTTGGATATTTTTATTATTTTTTGTTTTTACAATTGTTTTCCATTTTAATTTGTAATCCAGTTTAGTTAGTTTTCAGTATGGTTTAATTAATTTTAATTGATTTTTATTTTAAAGATGTATTTCTATTCACTGTTCATATATTGTCATTGTGCATTTCAGTAATTTTATTTCCAGAGAGAGACTGAAAGCTGTGGAGCTGTTTTATCTATCTGATCTTTAGGGGATCGTACAGGAACATCCAGTGCACATTATGAATTTGCTCAAAACTGGCAAATCATGTCCCAGGTATTACTGACAGTATTAAAGATAAACAAACCATCACTTTAGCTAAATAGAATTAGTCGTAATAAAATTTTTTGATGCTTGCTTTTATTTCATCTAAGTTAGTTTCCATTTCAATATTTATAGCTTAATTTTGTTGTAGGATTTAATTCTTTTAAATCCCAGGATACATCAATGTTTTCTTATAGTTTTATTTTTTTGTCCACAGTAATAACCTTGGTGTGTGCGATGTCTAGTAATTGTCCTGTGTTGTGTGATTCTTTTGTAAGCTTTAACTCCTGCATCCCACAATGCACCGGCGCTGTAATGTAAGGCAGGCCTTCCTACTCTCCTGTGCACCCATACTCATTACAGCCATGTGTCTCTTCAAGCATCCCCATGCAGGGCAGAGAGCTGCAGATTGAAGGTTAAAGAGATGCAGGGCCAGCTGCCAGATCACTAAGGAATTCAGAGGTGCGTGTGTGTGTGTGTGTGTGTGTGTGTGTGTGTGTGTGTGTGTGTGTGGCTGGTGCATAATGATGAGAATCACACAGAATCAGTCTGAACGAGCATTCGCTCATCAGCAGGCACTAACATCCACAGCGCATATTACAGATTCCATGATGCGCACAGCTTAATGCAGCTCCCAATATTTAATATTAAGGGCTAATATTAAACCCATTTGAAGCCTGTAAAAATTGGTAGCAATTATGTGTGGTAAAACTGTCTTATGAAGACGAGAGTGAATTGGTATATCTGTGAAGAAAAGAGGATTTATGTTGGCATTTATCTGACCGGTGTCTTATATATGAATAACAATTAGTTTATTTGCAAATCAAAATTAATACTACAGTATTAACTGTGTTTTTTAATCCTTAATGTTAGGAAAACCTTTATTACACTGAGAAGTGACATATACATCACTATTAAATAGCCATAATTAAACATTAAATAAAACCACATCTGGTATATTTTTCCTAGGATCCCTGCATAAATCCTCTTTGCTCTGTTAAAGTTCTCAAATGCAAATGGTTAATCTCATTTTCCCCTCACATTTCATTTCTTCAATTTCGTATTTCACTACAACAAATTAGCATTAGGAGCAGAATATATTAGGCCTATTCACTACTAAATCACAGCTCTCAGATAAGTACCAATGCATCTTCAGTGTTGAACGCTCCTGATTTCAAATACAAATCGAGGTCTATGGATTATACATCCATCTTCCAGCAGACCAGTAGCTCTTCTCCTGTGGCCTAAGGTATTTTCCTCCTGTTTTGGGTTCTTTAACTGGTACCCTTGAGCCCATAACAGTGACCCCAGTGATAACAGACACTGTACGGCCAAAAGTATGCGGACACCAGCTTATCCAACATCTCATTATGAAGCCGAAGGTATCAACGTGAACTTGGTCCATGCTTTGTTGCTGTAACAGCCTGTATCCTTCTGGGAAGGCTTCCTGTTAGATGCTGTCATGTTGCTGGTGGGATTCACTGCCATTCAGGTTAGGTATCGATGTTGGGTGATCAGGTCCCTTACTGGGAGCTTCTCTGTCCGACCACTTTGCAGCTGAACTGGCTATCGGACATTCTCACCCTCGCAGTCACTTCACTCTCGCTCCTCACTCAGGGCAGCTATAGCAGGGTAGCGATGGGGCAACCTGGCTTGCTGGAAAGAGGGCGTCCTACCATGGTGCCAAGTAGAAAGACACCAACCTCTTCTATGTGACCATCCAATATGCTGCTAATGTCTGCATGACTGTGTCTGCATGACTGTGTCTGCATGACTGTGTCTGCATGACTGTGTGCTTAACTGTACACCTGTGACTGTCCACGTACTTTTGACCTTTACTGCCCAGAACCCCTATACCAGTGGCCCGTGGACCAGGGTGACACTAGCTGCACTAACTCCACATTATGCCTAGTGAGCAGAACAGCGGCTTGTCACGTTCAGCTAAGATGAGAGGCGCTTTCCAGGGGAAGAGCAGACATTGGTGGTTTTCTGTGAATCTTGAAGGTGGCCATGTATGCGTGCCTGCAATCCAGTGAAATAACTGAGCAAGCCAATCAGCCGCGGTGATCAATGACCGCATAACAAGGGCCAGTTTGTCGCTGGAAAATTGTTCAGCTTTGGCAAACTTCCTGTTAGATTCCCTGTCTTTGACCTTCTTTCTCTCCGTGGCACCGCTTGGATGTCGTTGCATATAACATTCACCCCATCTGGCGAGTCAGAAGATGGTAGCCAGCTAGATGGTTAGCAGAAGATGCTGCTTCAGCACCTCCTAAATAAGGAACGTGTGAATTTAATATTTAGGGTAGTGACTGTTTGTGAAAGGCAGTGATTTGTGTGGTGGTTAACACAGCCTCTGGTTCCTTCACATAGCTATTCAAAGATGATTATTTACTCTTACTGAGGGTCTGCCTTTTGTAATGTAATGGGCAGAAAACAATCATGAGCTCTGAACACATTTGGGAGGAAATTTCACGTGTGCATCACAAGACCCTGTGCAGGCCCTTGGAACCCTGACAACAACAGTGAGCCAAACAATGAGAATAGCAGCAGAGTAGTGAACGGGGACTCTGCGCATTCTACACCCGCACCGCAGACAACACAGCGCAACGGGCCGCGGCAGCGGCCAGCCCCAGAAACCAAAGCGAGAGGGAGAGCAGAAAAGCGTACCTTCAGCAGAGGATTTGGAGAAGGTCTGAGAAGCGAATCCAGGAGCTGGACCAGAGGACAGGACAAGGGTAGGACGAACAGGGTGGAGGTACAGAGAACACAACATGATGACAGGAAGCAGAACGAAAAGGGGGAAATCCAGAAGAGGATAGGAAGGGACTGATGCAGATATAGCAGGTAGTGTGTGTGTGCATGCATGTGTGTGTGTGTCTCTCTGATTGTGTGGATTAGGTTTATATTACACTGTGGGGGCAAATCTCCAACAATGTAATAAAAACATGCTTTTTTTTGACGTTGTGGGGACAATTTTTGGGTCCCCACAAAGATATGTGACTGCATTCAAAAAAGTAAAAATGCTAAAAGTCTCGTATTTTTGTTTGGCTACTTGTGATTAAGGTTAGGGCTGGGTAGGGGTTACGGCTGTCCAGTTATGATTAGAGGTTTGCCCATAGAAATTAATGGAGAGTCCCCACAAAGATATAATTACAAACCCGTGTGTGTGTGTGTGTGTGTGTGTCATTTTTTTGAGGAAGTGGTGGTAGAAGTCTGGGAGGAATTGGGAGTCGGATTCGGGTACTTAAAAAAAATATATAAAACAAAAAACATATGGACTCATACCTTGGTTGTTTAACATCAGGTGCGCCAGACCTTGAAGGAAAGAACAGAAAAAAAAAGAAAGGAAGGAAAAAGGAGGTCATAAAAGGCACGGGAAGAAAAGAAGCATTGTCACAACGTTGGACTGCAGTTTGTGACAGACATCCTGGGGCAGAGAAGGATGTCAGAGTTCAAATCAAACCAAAAGGAAGGAAATCAAAAACGAATAAACATTTCTTGAGTGGGGTGTGGGAGGCAAAAGAAAAAAGCATTTAAATTTGCGCAACTACCGAAGGTGATTGCTCATATAAATGCTTTTTTTCCTAATGGAACACAGACGAAACTGTTTGGCAGATCAGTTCTTTCAGTTCAACTTTGTTTTCATCCACTTTCTTATAAATATATATGGATATATTTCCTTGAATATCCATCAAGCATTGTAACATGAACAGGACAGTAATCAAACAATCACAGACAGGGAAAACCGTTTTAGTAAAGCGTACATTATCCCATCAAAAGGAACAAACCAACAGGTTCATGTTCTTTGGGTAACAGCCACTGCACGCCATGCATCAAAGACCTCCAGGCACCACTGAAGAAGCAAGAAGAGGAATGCAAACACAGTGCAGTAAGACCACCGATTGCACACTGCAAAATGCTAGCTAACGTTGCAATTTATGCAATTTCCCATCAGCGTGCGTCTCAGCATTACGATTCCGCAAGTCTCACAGCGTGAGCGATGGCACAGTGAACGGGGAGAGACACTGCAGCCAGATCTCCAGAATTAACATACAACACAGACAGGCTTCCAGTGCCAAGCTGGCTCACTCAATGCTACCATCAGCAGCATCGGGGAATCCAATGCACTGCAGTTGGTCCACTGCAGAAGCCCCAACGCCAGCAGTGGGGCCTCAGAAGCTCAACACATCCCAGCCAACGCAAACAACAGCATCAATAACCTTCACATCGGCTGAAAATCCATAGTATGCGTCTTCAAAGTCGACAAGCTAGAGCAGATATCCTTGATAATAATTAGTAAAAATTTGGTGACAAGAATACAAGAAAACGCAATCAGTGCATGAGCGGATCTTGGAAAGTTTATTTTTTTCCTGCCACTGAAGAGCATGGTGGTTTAAGTACACTCTCACTCCAGAAGTTTCACGCTTGAACCTCTCCTCCAGATTATTTCCTACAGGTCTCCCCGCATGTTGTACGTGTCCTGGGTGTGCATAAGGGCCCAGAGCTCCACACCACGGGCACTACTGCATCTCGCACTGTATGATTCCCCAAAAGCACTTCTTATCGTGGTGCCTCTAAACGGATAAGCAGGGACCAAGATCTATGGAGGAGTATGTGATACTGTGGAAGTAATCCAACAACCAGTGTAGTTATAGCGATAAAACCTAACATCTCAGAGCTCCATTGCAAGTATGGAGACCACAAGCCAGAGTTTGTCATTTCCCACAATTCCTGGTGAGTGCTTTCCCATCAGCTTGCTCACTCTTCTGCTTTTTGTAGATCTCATGGGGAAAAGAAAAGGTCGAGGGACCTTGGTCTATCGATATTGTTTTCTCCATTTTGAAAAATCATCAAACTGTAGCACAGATTCTAAATGCTGAACATGTCAACCCGGAGAAGAGAATCATTTCTGCATGATCTTCAGAGATATTCATGAGCTGCCAAGTGTCTCAGCTATTCTCTCCAATGACATCTCATGAAAGCAGTGCAGTTACCTTGTGAATCCTACATTTCTTCATGCAACGCAACAGTACAAAAAAGTACAAAAGAGAAATGCTATTATGGGCTATAATTCCCCATGAAATACTGACTGCAATGCTCACTTGACTCTTGCATGCTGCAGTCTTGAAACTGAAGGTCAGCCCTGGTTAATTTCAGGGTTGGACAGAAGTCCCATTCCTATCGTCAGAATCATCAGATATAAAGTTATAAATGAAGATGCTGTCAGTTGAGCACCTTTCAGCAAGTCGGCTGGTGGTCATTTTCACCTCTTAGGTACATTAATTTAGACCATCGACACTTGTGAAAGCAGAGAGTGGCTCTTTAACCTGAGCCACGGATGGTTATGTAATGTGCTGCGTCCTTTAATAGTTTAATTCCAAACTGCACTCTGTCTGCATAAGCAGCTCATATTAATTCAACGGGGGATTTGAACAGAAATGAAGAACTTAGAAAGCAAATGGGTAGAGACCCACCATTCGCCTGGAGACGCCTTAATAAACACATAAATCCAACAGTTATACAGTAGTTAGCACTGCTTATGTGATAAAAAATGACAATGCGGGGAAAAAAACAATGTAATCATATTAACCTGAACGCGATCAATAAAAAATTAAGGAACATTTACACGGTGGTACGTTGCGTGTCGGCAGTCAGACGGCGATATGAATGCACATTCAGATTGAAAGAGACATTGCTTTGGCTCCATGATTGATGCTGTTATTTACAAGGTGGTCTGCATAACCTGACGGTGACTGAAGTCTGATGCAGACGCCTGACACGTTCATAAAAGCCTAAAAAAAGAATCAGCTCCATTTCTAACTCAAGCAGACAGCGCTAATTTTAACAGACAGCTACATCACAGTTATGCCCCGTGCAGAACCAAACTGGACAATGATTTCTTAGAGATTTAAAACTTCAATGGCTAAGGGTCAGAGATGTATCTTTAATAATGATTTTAAATGAGAATACTACTGTCCAGCTACCATGGGGAACATGCTGTATATTTGCCCCTCTTGCTTTCCTAGACTTGCCAGAGTCTTTGGCAATAGTGTCACTTATCAAACACTCTCCATCTGCTCGATGGCCTTTATAAATCAGCCTCCGCCATTCCTACAACATCGGGTGCATTTAGCACACAGCGGCTTCTTAAAAGAAAAAGAGGCAGAAGCGAAAAAATCAACCCACTGGGCTAGTGTTTGGCAGAGCTGGCAGGGAGCAAAAATGTGGACTGTCTGGGGTTCCCTGGGGACTGGGTTGAGAAATACTGCATTAGGTGACATAGACGGCTGCCTAGGGCGCCCCCTACTGAGGGGGTGCCAACTTAGCAGGCTGATTTCACCCCGCTGGTGGTGCGACTTGCCTAGGGTGGCACGTTCTCGCCAAAGTTTAGGAACCTAATTCCTGGTTCCGAGTTCCTGGCCCATATCTGACCCTCATGTGTCACTGTCCCACCGCACAACAGGAACTGAGACTTTTATGCTTAATAAGCACTGGAATCGCAAAAGGCTGGTAGATCAAACTTCACATGTAATTTCACACAAAACTACACCGCCATCCCAAAACAATGGAGGATGAAAAAGTAATTTTGTTAGTTATTTGGTTTGTTATTGGGCCGATGATTAAACTGGTCTGAAGATTATAATATATGGTATATTGGTTCAATATATTATATTGGTATAATAAAAAATATATTGGTTGAAAACGGAACATAGCATTTCATTTATACGGCTCACGAGATATTTATAATTGGCCAGAAGATCAATTTTTTAGTTTTTCATAGAATAAAAAACGATGTGAAGTTATTCCGCTAATACGCGGCAACACATTTCACCGCCACACCGGTGATATTAGACGGAAGTATATCGGTCATCGATCAAATTTTCCGATGTATAAATTTGGAGACACAAGCAAAAACAGGATGAATTTAACGTAACTGTGATACAGAAATAATTCCATCTACTCAGCTTTTGCTCCCCTACTTCACTCTCTTTGCCTTACTCCCAAGTCAGTACCGGTAATTGTGGTTAACCAATCAGGAAAAGTTATCATTATCAGCCCCTCCCAGTAGTTCTTGATCAAGCGGGACAGATGTTCCTGAAAAAGGTTCCTACGATGGGAACCCAACAGAAGTTCATGGTTCTTGAAAAATGTTCTGGTTCCTGAAAAAGGTTCCTGCAGTGGGAAAGTGGCCATGGTATCGGGCTGGTCCTGCTGGTTAGAAACCAGTCAGCAAAGTAGCATGAGCTCATTAGTATGGATCCTGAGGAACATCGCGAGTGCCCGAGCCGTCGCCTCCCCCCTTTGTTCTGTCCTCCGTAATGCTCCTCATTAAAAAGATAACACAGCAATAAAATGATAATGGCAATGCTATGTACCAAATTACTGTGCCCCCACGCTCCTGTTGCCACTGCAGATTAGCACTGAAGGTTAGTCCTGTCCGCTATGTTAAAGAAATGCGATTAGAGGTCCGCAAATTGCAGAACAAAATGCTGAGATTGTCCAAAGTAAGGAATAAAAGTTACGAAATAACAGATAAATGGTATAATACAAAATTCCCGGTAAAATGGAGGAGGGGAAACAAAAACGATACACGATGGCAGCGCCAGGAACAGAAGGAGTGCGGACAGCTTGCTGAACGAGCAGACAGGCCCCTTTCCGGGGATCTGTTTACAACGTACCTGCAACAAGGACAGACACCTCCCTGGGCCTGGCAGCAGCATCGTGTCAGAGCGAACAGGTCCAAACAGCAACGTAAACATCTCCACATGACACGCGACCTGGGAAGGCAGGCCTGCAACGAGGGCCCAAACAGCCCGTGAGCTAAATTGCGAGTGGAAACGCCCGGATTTCAAGGTAAGCAAGTGTAAAGCGTACAGTCATTTATTTATTAATCCCCCGCCCGTCCGAATTAGCATACCTCAAGCTTTCTTTAATTAAACTCTACGAGCCTTTTGGTAATTAATTTAAAAGTAGGTTATGCCACACAAGCGTACTCTCCTAAAATTCCCCTCATTCAATCATAACAAATCAGTCACCGTTCCTGTTTATCTATGGCAAACCATCTAAAAAGGAGAGGTTATTTTTCTTAATTATTGTGTTGCCAATTGTGATTAATAGCTATTTAAGCAATTGCTCACAATTGCAAATTGTGGGGCTAATGCAGACGCGTGAGTGGAACTGACAAGACGTGGTCTGGGTGGGACCCTCTTAATTAGCCGACGCTGACTGAATAATCAGCGTAAATAAAACATTATCCCGCCGTTGAAGGGCTGCGACGCCGCCAGCCTCACTCATCTCGCCGCCATCGCCGTGAC